TATACAGCAGGTTAGGTTCTGGGCTACTGCAGTACAGGCCCCACTTATAAGAGTTGGTTGGGCTCGCTGTACAGGCCCCATTAAATACAGTTAGGTTCCGGGCAAACTGCTGTACGGGCCCCATTATACAGAAAGTTAGGTTCTGGGCTCCTGCTGTACAGGCCCCACTTATACAGCAGGTTGGGTTTCTGGGCTACTGCTGTACAGGCCCCACTTATACAGCAGGTTAGGTTCTGGGCTACTGCTGTACAGGCCCCACTTATACAGCAGGTTAGGTTCTGGGCTACTGCTGTACAGGCCCCACTTTACGGGCGGTTGGGTTTCTGGGCTACTGCTGTACAGGCCCCACTTATACAGCGGTTAGGTTTGCTACTGCTGTACGGGGCCCCACTTATACAGCAGGTTAGGTTCTGGGCTACTGCTGTACGGGCCCCCCACTTATACAGCAGGTTAGGTTCTGGGCTACTGCTGTACAGGCCCCACTTATACAGCAGGTTAGGTTCTGGGCTACTGCTGTACAGGCCCCACTTATACAGCAGGTTAGGTTCGGGGGCTACTGCTGTTACAGGCCCCCTTATACAGCAGGTTAGGCTCGGGGCTACTGCTGTACAGGCCCACTTATACAGCACGTTAGGTTCTGGGCTACTGCTGTACAGGCCCCACTTATACAGCAGGTTAGGTTCTGGGCTACTGCTGTACAGGCCCCACTTATACAGCAGGTTAGGTTCTGGGTTTACTGCTGTACAGGCCCCCAAACTTAACAGCAGGTTAGGCTCTGGGCTACTGCTGTACGGGCCCCCAAACTTATACAGCAGGTTAGGTTCTGGGCTACTGCTGTACAGGCCCCACTTATACAGCAGGTTAGGTTCTGGGCTACTGCTGTACAGGCCCCACTTATACAGCAGGTTAGGTTCTGGGCTCCTGCTGTACAGGCCACTTATACAGCAGGTTAGGTTTCGGGGTCCTGCTGTACAGGCCCCACTTATACAGCAGGTTAGGTTCTGGGTTTACTGCTGTACACTCCCACTTATACAGCAGGTTACCCTCTGGGCTCCCTGCTGTACAGGCCCACTTTACAGCAGGTTAGGTTCTGGCTACTGCGTATAGGCCCCCACTTATACAGCAGTTTAGGTTCCGGGCTACTGCTGTACAGGCCCCACTTATACAGCAGGTTAGGCTCTGGGCTACTGCTGTACAGGCCCCACTTTTACAGCAGGTTAGGTTCTGGGCTACTGCTGTACAGGCCCCACTTATACAGCAGGTTAGGTTCTGGCCTACTGCTGTACAGGCCCCACTTATACTGCAGGTTGGGGGGTTCTGGGCTACTGCTGTACAGGCCCCACTTATAAGCGGGTTAGGTTTCTGGGCTACTGCTGTACAGGCCCCACTTATACAGCAGGTTAGGTTCGGCTACTGCTGAAACGGGCCCCCTTATACAGCGGGTTTTAGTTGGGCTATGCTGACGCCCACTTAAAGCGGTTAGGTTCTGGGCTACTGCTGTACAGGCCCCACTTATACAGCAGGTTAGGTTCTGGGCTACTGCTGTACAGGCCCTGCTTATACAGCAGGTTATTTTCTGGGCTCCTCCTGTACAGGCCCCACTTATACAGCAGATTAGGTTCTGGGCTCCTGCTGTACAGGCCCCACTTATACAGCAGGTTAGGTTCTGGGCTACTGCTGTACAGGCCCCACTTACACAGCAGGTTAGGTTCTGGGCTACTGCTGTACAGGCCCCACTTATACAGCAGGTTAGGTTCTGGGCTCCTGCTGTACAGGCCCCACTTATACAGCAGATTAGGTTCTGGGCTCCTGCTGTACGGGCCCCCAAACTTAATACAGAAGATTAGGTTCTGGGCTCCTGCTGTACAGGCCCCACTTATACAGCAGATTAGGTTCTGGGCTCCTGCTGTACAGGCCCCACTTATACAGAAGATTAGGTTCTGGGCTCCTGCTGTACAGGCCCCACTTATACAGCAGATTAGGTTCTGGGCTCCGCTGAAAGGGCCCCCTTATACAGAAGATTAGGTTCTGGGCTCCTGCTGTACAGGCCCCACTTATACAGCAGGTTAGGTTCTTGGCTCCTGCTGTACAGGCCCCACTTATACAGCAGGTTAGGTTCTGGGCTACTGCTGTACAGGCCCCACTTATACAGCAGATTAGGTTCTGGGCTCCTGCTGTACAGGCCCCACTTATACAGCAGGTTGGGTTTTCTGGCTCCTGCTGTACAGCCCCACTTATACAGCAGGTTAGGTTCTGGGCTACTGCTGTACAGGCCCCACTTATACAGCAGGTTAGGTTCTGGGCTACTGCTGTACAGGCCCCACTTATACAGCAGGTTAGGTTCTGGGCTACTGCTGTAAAAGGCCCCATTATACAGCAGGTTAGGTTCTGGGCTACTGCTGTACAGGCCCCACTTATACAGCAGGTTGGGGTTTTTGGGCTACTGCTGTACGGGCCCCCACTTATAAGCAGGTTGGGTTCTGGGCTATGCTGTACGGCCCCTTATACACAGGTTAGGTTCTGGGCTACTGCTGTACAGGCCCCACTTATACAGCAGGTTAGGTTCTGGCCTACTGCTATACAGGCCCCACTTATACAGCAGGTTAGGTTCTGGGTTACTGCTGTACAGGCCCCACTTATACAGCAGGTTAGGTTCTGGGTTACTGCTGTACAGGCCCCACTTATACAGCAGGTTAGGTTCTGGGCTCCTGCTGTACAGGCCCCACTTATACAGCAGGTTAGGTTCTGGGCTCCTGCTGTACAGGCCCCACTTATACAGCAGGTTAGGTTCTGGGCTACTGCTGTACAGGCCCCACTTATACAGCAGGTTAGGTTCTGGGCTACTGCTGTACGGGCCCCATTTAAATACAGCAGGTTAGGTTCTGGGTACTGCTGTACAGGCCCCATTATCAGCAGGTTAGGTTCTGGGCTACTGCTGTACAGGCCCCACTTATACAGCAGGTTAGGTTCTGGCCTACTGCTGTACAGGCCCCACTTATACAGCAGGTTAGGTTCTGGGTTACTGCTGTACAGGCCCCACTTATACAGCGGGTTTAAAGGTTCTGGGTTACTGCGGTACAGGCCCCACTTATACAGCAGGTTAGGTTCTGGGCTTCCTGCTGTACAGGCCCCACTTATACACAGGTTAGTTTCTGGGCTACTGCGGTACCAGGCCCCCACTTATACAGCAGGTTAGGTTCTGGGCTACTGCTGTACAGGCCCCACTTATACAGCGGGTTTAAAGGTTCTGGGTTTACTGCTGTACAGGCCCCACTTATACAGCGGGTTTTAGGTTTTTGGGCTACTGCTGTACAGGCCCCCACTTATACAGCAGGTTAGGTTCTGGGCTACTGCTGTACAGGCCCCACTTATACAGCAGGTTAGGTTCTGGGCTACTGCTGTACAGGCCCCACTTATACAGCAGTTAGGTCTGGCCTACTGCTGTACAGGCCCCACTTATACAGCAGGTTAGGTTCTGGGCTACTGCTGTACAGGCCCCACTTATACAGCAGGTTAGGTTCTGGGCTACTGCTGTACAGGCCCCACTTATACAGCAGGTTAGGTCCGGGCTACTGCGTACAGGCCCCACTTATACAGCAGGTTGGGTTTTCTGGCCTACTGCTGTACAGGCCCCACTTATACAGCAGGTTAGGTTCTGGGCTACTGCTGTACAGGCCCACTTATACACAGGTTAGGTTCTGGCCTATGCTGTACAGGCCCCACTTATACAGCAGGTTAGGTTTGGGCTACTGCTGTACAGGCCCCACTTATACAGCAGGTTGGGTTTTCTGGGCTACTGCTGTACAGGCCCCACTTATACAGCAGGTTAGGTTCTGGGCTACTGCTGTACAGGCCCCACTTATACAGCAGGTTAGGTTCTGGGCTACTGCTGTACAGGCCCCACTTATACAGCAGGTTAGGTTCTGGGCTACTGCTGTACAGGCCCCACTTATACAGCAGGTTAGGTTCTGGGCTACTGCTGTACAGGCCCCACTTATACAGCAGGTTAGGTTCTGGGCTACTGCTGTACAGGCCCCACTTATACAGCAGGTTAGGTTCTGGGTTACTGCTGTACAGGCCCCACTTATATAGCAGGTTAGGCTCTGGGCTACTGCTGTACAGGCCCCACTTATACAGCAGGTTAGGTTCTGGGTTACTGCTGTACAGGCCCCACTTATATAGCAGGTTAGGCTCTGGGCAAAACTGCTATACAGGCCCCACTTATACAGCAGGTTAGGTTCTGGGTTACTGCTGTACAGGCCCCACTTATACAGCAGGTTAGGTTCTGGGCTACTGCTGTACAGGCCCCACTTATACAGCAGGTTAGGTTCTGGGTTACTGCTGTACAGGCCCCACTTATACAGCAGGTTAGGTTCTGGGCTACTGCGGGTACAGGCCCCACTTATACAGCGGGTTAGGTTCTGGGCTACTGCTGTACAGGCCCCACTTATACAGCAGGTTAAGTTCTGGGTTACTGTTGTAAAGAAAAAATCGCTGTAAAGTGAAACAGTCTTTTTTCACTCAAATAACATGTTTATAATATTATATATTAAGTAAGCAATAGAAGCAAGACTAAAAAATACATATACAGTACACACATTACTTACCTTAAAATATTTTATCCTTTAGCTTATAGTGAATGGTGAATATATTTATTATAGAAAGTCTGAATAAATGAAGAATGGGTATAAATGAAATCAGTGAAAAGCCTTAAAGTGGGGGCGTTGACCCCCGGAACTCTCTCCAGGTAAATTCCAGGTAATGAGGATGACAGTAAACCTGACTAGCGGTGAACAGGTGACTGAGTAGTCGACAGGCTTTAAAACCCAAATTAGTCAACCAATAATTTTACTTTCATATGCATTAGTAATGCTTTTCCGAGTGAGAATTAAGTCCCATTCAACGGACATTAATAATAATCCCAGTTTTAACCAGCCTATAACCTGAAAACAAACTGTTTTCTTTATATTGTTGTGTGATGATTGAGATCAGTGTCTTACCCTCCAGCATCTGGCGTTGACGAGTGATGATCTCATCACACAAGGAACGTTGACGGTCGTACCTCATGATGACAAGATCTCTCCGTCTGAGTTCATGTTCCTTAAGTAGCGCCTCGCTTTGCATCTCCACCTTCTGGATCTCCAACTCGTGTACCTGCAGGAGTAGACATAACGTAAACAAAAAGCTATAGAACCAGAATGGATAGCACCTTGGGTCATAAAACAATGTCTAGATCAGTTAGGTTATCCACTGTGGATTTTTAAGATTTCAGTACAGGAAGATAAATTAGCAAACATAAGCAAGATGACACATACTGTGCTTGTATTTACACAAGATAACAGGGAAGACCCTTTAAATCAGTAGACCTCAACCTTTTTAGTATGAAACGCCAATTTGAAAAGCCAAATAAGGAGGGCCACATTTTGTGCAGTGTGGAACCTACATAAAAGAGAATGTCATAATGTCATGTGAGGGCCGCATCCATCTTTAAACTACAGACCAGCGTCACTGACAAGTATTGGTGTAAAATTATTGGAGAAAAAATCCACTGAGGTAGATTCAAGGCTTACATAATAACGTCCTAAATGATAAACAATTTGGTTTTCTTTCGGCACATTCATGTACATCAAATTTGTTAAAGTATGACAGTTACAGAAATTGTTCAAGAATGAAATGTATGGACAGATTGTATTTACATAGACTAAGAAAATATTTGATAGTTCCCATTAAAGCCTAATTTGGACTAATCTGACGTAATTTACTATTAGAAATAAAAAGATTATATGAATATGTTTGCAGACGCTGCAAAAGTCTTATGTAAAATTAATAATGAAAATTGCTACATCTTTAAAAGAGGATCTGTATTAACTGAGCATAATGATGGATGGATGATAGAAGTTAACGTTGATAAATGAATAGAAATGGAAGAAACTGCAATCAGGTTACATGAATATAAACTGACAAAATATTGAGAGAATCGGGAAGAGAAAAGGATGTAGGAATTATTAACAAAAACATTATCACCAGACAATCATATAAATTAAACTGAGAAACTCGTACATCACACTGACGAACTACGAAACAACTCTTAAATATATGGATGGTGAAGTGTTAAGTTGTTTATTACTTATACATGTATTACAAAAAGTGTAATATGCAGCTGTTGTGGTGCTCACACCTGAAAAAAATACGTAAATAAGTTTTAAAATGTTCGAAGAAGAGCTACAAAATGGCTGCCAGAGTTGAGCAAAATGAACTATGATGAAAGGTTAAAAATATTTAAGAATGTCCATGTTGACTGACAGGAAAAGAGGAGACGTGGTAACCACAGGTAAGGTCTTGAAGGAACCTGACAGAGTAAAACAAAGATTTGCTGTTGCCGACAACAGGAATAACGAGAAAAAAAAGTGAGTGGAAATGAAAGAAATTTTTCTTCTCAAACAGAGTGGTTGGCCAGTGGAATACGTTTAAGAATTAGTAAGTGCTGCAATTATTGGATTTTTTTAATTACATGATAAACAGAGCTGAGTCTCGACCCCTGCAACCACAATTAGGTGAGTACACAGTATAGGCTAGGTGGCCAAAGGCTGCAAACCTCGCTCAAGGAGAAAGATCTTGGGGTGAGCATAACACCGAGCATGTCTCCGGAAGCACACATCAACCAGATAACTGCTGCAGCATATGGGCGCCTGGCAAACCTGAGAACAGCGTTCCGATACCTTAGTAAGGAATCGTTCAAGACACTGTACACCGTGTACGTCAGGCCCATACTGGAGTATGCAGCACCTGTTTGGAACCTGCACTTGATAAAGCATGTCAAGAAACTAGAGAAAGTGCAAAGGTTTGCGACAAGGTTAGTTACAGAGCTAAGGGGAATATCCTATGAAGAAAGGTTAAGGGAAATCGGCCTAACGACACTGGAGGACAGGAGGGTCAGGGGAGACATGATAATTACATATAAAATACTGCGCGGATAAGATAAGATAAGATTTTGTTCGGATTTTTAACCCCGGAGGGTTAGCCACCCAGGATAACCCAAGAAAGTCAGTGCGTCATCGAGGACTGTCTAACTTATTTCCATTGGGGTCCTTAATCTTGTCCCCCAGGATGCGACCCACACCAGTCGACTAACACCCAGGTACCTATTTGCTGCTAGGTGAACAGGACAATAGGTGTAAGGAAACGTGTCGGAATTTCCACCCGCCGGGAATCGAACCCGGGCCCTCCGTGTGTGAAGCGGGAGCTTTAGCCACCAGACCACCGGGCCACCGGAATAGACAAGGTGGACAAAAACAGGATGTTCCAGGGAGGGGACACAGAAACAAGAGGTCACAATTGGAAGTTGAAGACACAGATGAGTCAAGAGAGATATTAGGAAGTATTTCTTCAGTCATAGAGTTGTCAGGCAGTGGAATAGCCTGGAAAGTGACGTAGTGGAGGCAGGAACCATATATAGTTTTAAGACGAGGTTTGATAAAGCTCATAGAGCAGGGAGAGAGGACCTAGTGGCAATCAGTGAAGAGGCGGGGCCAGGAACTAAGACTCGACCCCTGCAACCACAAATAGGTGAGTACACACACACACACACACACACACACACACACACACACACACACAGCAAAAGCCAAATTTGACCCAAAACTGTTGTACAGCCACATCAGAAGGAAAACAACAGTCAAGGACCAGGTAATCAGGCTGAAGGAATGAGGGGTGATCACAAGAAACGGCCGAGAAGTATGTGAGGAGCTCAACATGATATTCAGTGTTCACAGAGTAAACAGAAGGAACCCCAGAAAGACGGAGAGGTGGGGTCCACCATCAAGTGTTAGACACCATACATACAACCTAGGAAGAAGTGAAGAAGTTGCTAAGCGAGCTAGATACATCAAAGGCTATGGGGGTTGGATAACATCTCTCCATGTGTCCTGAGAGAGGGAGCAGAGGCGTTGTGTGCGCCACTAACAACTATCGTCAACACATCTATCGAAACAGGGCGACTACCTGAGGTATGGAAGACAGCCAATGTTGTCCTAATTTAAAAAAAAAGGGAAGACAGATATGAAGCATTAAACTACAGACCAGTGTATAAATAACAAAAAAAGGCACAATACCATGACTGGAACGATGCACAAATAACCTGCACATAGAAGAGAGCAGCTTACGATGACGTTTCGGTCCGACTTGGACCATTTACAAAGTCTCACTGACCAGTGTCACTGACATGTATAGTGTGCATAGTCATGGAGATTATCAGAAGAGTGGTGGAGCACCTAGAAAGAATTGAGCTTATCAACGACAACCAGGACGGTTTCAGGGCTGAGAAATCCTGTCACAAACCTACTGGAGTTCTATGACAGGGTGACAGCAGTAAGACAACAGAGAGAGGGGTGGGTATACTGCATTTTCTTGGACTGTAAGAAGGCTGGAGGACCGAGCAGGTATAACAAGGAAGATGTTGCAATGGATCAGGGAATACCTGTCGGGAAGACATCAGTCATGGTACGAGACGAAGTGTCAGAGTGGGTGCCTGTGACAAGCGGGGTTCCACAGGGGTCAGTCCTAGGACTGGTGGTGTTTCTGGTAAATGTGAACATGACAGAAGCAATAGACTCAGAAGTGTCCCTGTTTGCGGATGTGAAGTTGATGAGAAAAATTCAATCAGATGAGGACCAGTCAAAATTACAAAGGGATCTGGACAGGCTACAGGCCTGGTTCAGAAACTGCCTCCTAGAGTTCAACCCCACCAAGTGCAAAGTTATGAAGATTGGGGAAGGGCAACGAAGACCGCAGACTGAGTACAGTCTAGGGGGTCAGAGACTACAAACCTCACTTAAGGAAAAAGATCTTGGGGTGAGTATAACACCGAGCACATCTCCTGAGGCGCACATCTCCTGAGGCGCACATCAACCAAATAACTGCTGCAGCATATGGGCGCCTGGCAAAACCTAAGAATAGCGTTCCGGCATCTCAATAAGGGATCGCTCAGGACCCTGTACACTGTGTAAGCCAGGCCTGTATTGGAGTATGCAGCACCAGTTTGGAACCCACACTTAGCCAAGTACATACGGAAATTAGAGAAAGTGCAAAGGTTTGCAACAAGACTAGTCCCGGAGCTAGGAGGTATGTCCCACGAGGAGAGGTTAAGGGAAATCAACCTGACGACACTGAAGGACAGGAGAGATAGGGGGATATGATAACGACATATAAATATTGAGAGGAATCGATAAGGTGGACAGAGACAGGATGTTCCAGAGATGGGACACAGCAACAAGGGGACACAGCAACAAGGGGACACAGCAACAAGGGGACACAGTTGAAAGATGAAGACTCAGATGAATCACAGGGAGGTTATGAAGTATTTCTTCATTCACAGAGTTGTCAGGAAGTGGAATAGTCTGGAAAGTGATGCAGTGGAGGCAGGATCCATACATAGCTTTAAGAAGAGGTATGATTAACCTTATGGAGCAGGAAGAGTGACCTAGTAGCGATCAGTGGAGGGGGGGGGGCAGGAGCTGTGAATCGACCCCTGCAACCACAACTAGGTAAGCACACACGTACGTTGTCTGACTCACCTTACAGAGAAGGTTAAGAAGTTCTCGCTGCTCATCGTTGGTGATGGATTTTGGAAGCGCCTGAAGAAACATGATTAAGACAAATTAAAGGCCTTATACACACTCCCTAAAAACCAGCAGCGACTCCTATATCACTAACAAGACTATCATTCTCTTGGGAGGATAACAGTTATGTCACTAACAAGACTATCATTCTCTTGGGAGGATAACAGTTATGTCACTAACAAGACTATCATTCTGTGAAGAATAGTATAGATTTTTTCCCTCAAAGATAGTCAAAACAATCATTGTTAGTATGGATATAAGTTTATAAGTTATGAAGTTCATGCTAAGCTGGTCATTACTCTTACTATGAAGGTTAAGCTTGAAGTATTTATCAAGCTGTTGAAACAGATGATCATTATTATCCAAGATCACAAGTCATATTCTCGTCATAACAGTAATAACTCCTCTGTTGCTATTTCATATATACACCGCACACATTTTATAACAGTAAATTCAAGATAACAGGTATATTATTATTATTATTATAATCAAAAAGAAGCGCTAAGCCACAAGGGCTATACAGCGCTGCAGGGTAGGGAAGGAAGCGAGGGTACTGGGTGGCAGAAGGGAGGGGATGATCAGCAGGTTACAGAAAACAGCTGGGCAGGGGATAGAACGGGGGTAGAGGGTAGCAAGAGATTGAGGTTAGAAAGGGCTGAAGGTGATAACAGGTATAGATTATTGGGTCAGATTCATCTATACATTAAAGATTACTCGAAATATAGAGAAACAAAACTGCATTTTTTACGTGAACTTAGGAAGTAGTTCCGTCTGACAGACATGCTAAGTGCGCAGGTTGACACTCAACTCTGAGTGTTGTTTAGCCATAGGAAAACCTTAACACAGGTCTATGTCGTGAGGTGACCGGTTTAGTGGTGGCGATGTCTCTAAGTAGTCACTGGTACTATGGCAGGAACGCGGCAACATGATGGTGGGGTAGTCACTGGTACTATGGCAGGGGCGAGGCAACATGATGGTGGGGTAGTCACTGGTACTATGGCAGGGACGAGGCAACATGATTGGGGGGGGGTATTCACTGGTACTATGGCAGGGGCGAGGCAACATGGTGGGGTAGTCACTGGTGCTATGGCAGGGACGTGGCAACATGATGGTGAGGTAGTCACTGGTACTATGGCAGGAACGCGGCAACATGATGGTGGGGTAGTCACTGGTACTATGGCAGGGACGCGGAAACATGATTGGGGGGGTAGTCACTGGTACTATGGCAGGAACGCAGCAACATGATGGTGGGGTAGTCACTGGTACTATGGCAGGGACGTGGCAACATGATGGTGGGGTAGTCACTGGTACTATGGCAGGGATTCGGCAACATGATTGGGGGGGATAGTCACTGGTACTATGGCAGGGGCAAGGCAACATGGTGGGGTAGTCACTGGTGCTATGGCAGGGACGTGGCAACATGATGGTGAGGTAGTCACTGGTACTATGGCAGGAACGCGGCAACATGATGGTGGGGTAGTCACTGGTACTATAGCAGGAACGCGGCAACATGATGGTGGGGGTAGTCACTGGTATTATGGCAGGGACGCGGCAACATGGTGGGGTAGTCACTGGTACTATGGCAGGGACACGGCAACATGGTGGGGTAGTCACTGGTACTATGGCAGGGACGTGGCAACATGATGGGGGGTAGTCACTGGTACTATGACAGGGGCACGGTAACATGATGGTGGGGTAGTCACTGGTACTATGGCAGGGACGTGGCAACATGATGGGGGGGTAGTCACTGGTACTATGACAGGAACGCGGCAACATGATGGTGGGGTAGTCACTGATACTATGGCAGGGGCGAGGCAACATGATGATGGGGTATTCACTGGTACTATGGCAGGGGCGAGGCAACATGATGGCGAGGTAGTCACTGGTACTATGGCAGGGATGCGGCAATATGATGGTGGGGTAGTCACTGGTACTATGGCAGGGGCGAGGCAACATGGTGGTGGGGTAGTCACTGGTACTATGGCAGGGATGCGGCAACATGATTGGGGGGGGTAGTCACTGGTACTATGGTAGGGGCGAGGCAACATGATGGTGGGGTAGTCACTGGTGCTATTACAGGGACGTGGCAACATGATGGTGGGGTAGTCACTGGTACTATGGCAGGGGCGAGGCAACATGATGATGGGGTATTCACTGGTACTATGACAGGGGCGAGGCAACATGATGGTGAGGTAGTCACTGGTACTATGGCAGGGACGCGGCAACATGATGGGGGGTAGTCACTGGTACTATGGTAGGGACGCGGCAACATGATGGGGGGTAGTCACTGGGACTATGGCAGGGGCGAGGCAACATGATGGTGGGGTAGTCACTGGTACTATGGCAGGGACACGGCAACATGATGGCGGGGTAGTCACTGGTACTATGGCAGGGGCGAGGCAACATGATGGTGGGGAAGTCACTGGTACTATGGCAGGGACACGGCAACATGATGGGGGGTAGTCACTGGTACTATGGCATGGGGGTGGCAACATGATGGTGGGGTAGTCACTGGTACTATGGCAGGGGCGAGGAAACATGATGGTGGGGTAGTCACTGGTACTATGGCAGGGACACGGCAACATGATGGTGGGGTAGTCACTGGTACTATGGCAGGGGCGAGGCAACATGATGGTGGGGAAGTCACTGGTACTATGGTAGGGGCACGGCAACATGATGGTGGGGTAGTCACTGGTGCTATGGCATGGGGGTGGCAACATGATGGTGGGGTAGTCACTGGTACTATGGCAGGGGCATGGCAACATGATGGTGGGGTAGTCACTGGTACTATGGCAGGGGCGAGGCAATATGGTGGGGTAGTCACTGGCACTATGGCAGGGGCTAGGCAACATGATGGTGGGGTAGTCACTGGCACTATGGCAGGGGCGAGGCAACATGGTGAAGTAGTCACTGGTACTATGGCAGGGGCGAGGCAACATGATAGTGGGGTAGTCACTGGTACTATGGAAGGGGCAAGGCAACATGATGGTGGGGTAGCCACTTGTACTATGGCAGGGGCGAGGCAACATGATGGTGGGGTAGTCACTGGTACTATGGCAGGGGCGAGGCAACATGATGGTGGGGTAGTCACTGGTACTATGGCAGGGGCGAGGCAACATGGGGGGGTAGTCACTGGTACTATGGCAGGGGCGAGGCAACATGATGGTGGGGTAGTCATTTGGTACTATGGCAGGGCGAGGCAACTTTGGGTGGGGTAGTCACTGGCATTTATGGCAGGGGCGAGGTAACATGATGGGGTAGCCACTGGTACTATGGCAGGGGCGAGGCAACATGATGGGGGGGTAGTCACTGGTACTATGGCAGGGACGTGGCAACATGATGGTGGGGTAGTCACTGGTACTATGGCAGGGACATGGCAACATGGTGGGGTAGTCACTGGTACTATGGCAGGGGCGAGGCAACATGATGGTGGGGTAGTCACTGGTACTATGGCAGGGGCGAGGCAACATGGTGGTGGGGTAGTCACTGGTACTATGACAGGAACGTGGCAACATGATGGTGGGGTAGTCACTGGTACTATGACAGGGGCGAGGCAACATGATGGTGGGGTAGTCACTGGCACTATGGCAGGGGCGAGGCAACATGATGGTGGGGTAGTCACTAGTACTATGGCAGGGGCGAGGCAACGTGAGGGTGGGGTAGGTCCACTAGTAACTATGGCAGGGGCGAGGCAACATGATGGTGGGGTAGTCACTGGTACTATGGCAGGGGCGAGGCAACATGATGGTGGGGTAGTCACTAGTACTATGGCAGGGGCGAGGCAACATGATGGTGGGGTAGTCACTGGCACTATGGCAGGGGCGAGGCAACGTGATGTAAGGTATTAAACAATGCACAAATATCCCGCACGAGAAGCTTATATCGACGTTTCGGTCAGATTTGACCATTAACAAGTGATACCAACACACAAAGGTGAGGGAGCTTGTATATATACAGGAGAGGGGGACGGACGAGACAAGGAAGGGGCAGAAAGAATGGTCTGACTTGCACCATTTACCAGTCATTTGTGACTGGTAAATGGCCCAAATCAGACAAACGTCGTCATAAGCTTCTCTCCTATGTGCGGGATATTTGTGCGTTGTTCTAGTCACGGTATTGTGACGTTTTGTTTTATATGAGAGATATACTTGCCTCTGTTTCTACAAGATGGCCTCTTGTAGACACAAATATCACAGCTATAGAGTGAAAATCTTTCTACACACCAGTCGAGGTATTTGGTAAAACAAGAAATGCAAAATTCACATGGCAAGCATATCTCAAAATGCAGATAAATGGTTCAGAGAACCGCCAGGTTGATGAATTAGACAAATGAGCAACACTTCGGTATCTTTATTGAGGAAACGTTTTGCCACGCAGTGGCTTCATCAGTCCTAAACAAAAAAGAATGGTGAAGAGCAGAAGGAGTTTGAGGTAATCAGTCCCCTCAGCCTGGATTCGATATAATCAGTCCATCAATTTTGAAGAGAATACAACATATTCGTGAAGAAGTGGATTATATACTGTAGACAGGTGAGATGAAGCAGTTGTAAGCAATATCAGTGGACAAATCCACGTGGAAGTAGGTCACGACTATACGTTAGGCAAGTTACCTACTTCCACATGTGGATTTGTCCACTGATATTGATTACAACTGCTTCATCTCACCTGTCTACAGCATATAAGCCATTTCTTCGCGAATATGCTGTATTCTCTTCAAAATTGATGGACTGATTATATCGAATCCAGGCTGAGGGGACTGATTACCTCAAACTCCTTCTGCTCTTCACCATTCTTTTTTGTATAAGACTGATGAAGCCACTGCGTGGCAAAACGTTTCCTCAGTAAAGATACCCAAGTGTTGCACGTTTGTCTAATTCATCAATATGCCTCAAAATGATTAGAAGCAAAGCCCTCCGAACGATTCAAATGTAGATTAAAAAATAAGCTGGTTAATTCGACAATGTAAGAGTACCAGCATATTGACCACAGTAAATTACTGTATCTGTACATACAGCGCAACGACTCTCCAAGATTTACAGATATAGATTAGTCGTGTACCTCCTGGCGTCCTACCAACAAATAAAGCCAAATGGCAGGCTTTATAACCTTGAGGAATACACAGGAGAAATTATTAACAAATGAAGCTGAAAAACACCATTAACAGAAAAAACCAGCTCAGACCCCAAGGCTGCACCAACAAACCCAAAGTGGCAGGCTTTAAACCGTGCTACACCAGGAAATGTAAGTACATTACCTGAAACTACAGTTTTGTCTTTGCGACTGCAACTGCTCCGAACAAAGTCTAATCTATAACAAGAAATTAATTCTGACTTACTTTAGTCCTGTTAAATCCTTTAATATGAAAGCTAAAGAAAGCATATTTTTAACTCTAGAAACTAAACAGTTGGAAAAAATTGAGCATGAAGCGAGCAAATAAGCCATCACTTTTACATTTATAAAATGTGATGAGACTACGTAAAAGAAAGAGATTGTATATTAGTTCCTGCATTAACTAAGAAATACTCGAGTACTGGTGTAACCTCAACAGACATGGCTAAGTACCATCTCCTACCTCATGCCATTTTCTGAGCAGTTTACGGCACCGATTCAATCGCTTTCTGCATCTTATACGTTTTTCTAAAAGCTGTGTGGAGATACATGAGAGAAGTACAGTCAGAATGGTTTCCAGATAAAAATTCTCAAAACTATAATAAATCCATTTTTTATACCTTAAAGCGGTAAATGGAATTGGTAAATATATTTTTATGCTGTTATACTTTTGAAAATGAATGAGAAACATTGTATCTTAGATAGAATTTGACATGCGAAAAGCTGTCACCTTGCACCAAAGCAGCTAAATAACTAGGCTGCAATATACCAGGCTACATGCTGTCTATATATTGCATTAAACAAGAGGCTACAAGCACTATATAATCCACAAGACCATTCAAAAGTAAAAGTGATCTTCATACACTAGACAAGATTACGAACTATTTTCATACTGCCCTAGACGACAAAGACCGCAAGCTGTCCATATACAGAAAAAAGATAAGGTCACAAGCGGTCTTCATAATTTACTTGACAAGATGAAGAAAAAACAATATGTATACAATAAGTATCTTTCTAAAATCTAGGATAAAGCCACAACCAGTCTTCATCAAGCATCAGATAATACAAAGCCATCACAAGAAGGTACAAGCTGACTTAACCAAGCAACGGATGATACAAAGTAACGTCCACTGCTGCTGTGCACAAATTATGGAGACGTTTCGCCTGTCAACAGGCTTCTTCAGTCAATACACAGGGCAGTACATCATGCAAACTGATACAGGCTAAAGAGATTTTGGAAAGCTTAACAATTCACTGACTGCCATACCACGGGTGGGGTTTGAACCCGTGATCAGTCTTAAAACTCCAGACCGTGGTAAGGTTTGTTTGCAATCGTGTCATTACGATTTCGTGAGTCACTGACTGCGTTTGTATAAATTTGCTTGTATTGAGAAAAATATTTTCCCCACTGAGGAAGTGAATCGCTTCCTCAATGTCTTGAACTGTCTAAATTATGTCCGTATCACCATACCTCTCCTGTCCACAGGCGAAACATCTCAAAGTTCCTCTCACCAACTGTCTTTTATATCGCTTAGTCTGACATGCATCACTCGTCCCCAACTCCTGTCTTATTACCCGAGACAACTTGATGTAAAAAGCTTTCACTGTACTAGTGCATTAGAAGATACAAGACCACAAAGTCATGTTCAAAATGAACGAGAAGATATGAAAAAAATATGTTCAAAGAGTACTATAGGTTACGAGCTAGGTTCTAAAATTACCATAACAAGCATAGGTTCCAAAATTACCATAACAAGCATAGGTTCCAAAGTTACCATAACAACTATAGGTTCCAAAATTACCATAACAAGTATAGGTTCCAAAATTACCATAACAAGCATAGGTTCCAAAATTGCCATAACAAGCACTGCTTCCAAAATTACCATAACAAGCATTGGTTGTTAACGGTATTGATACACTGTGGGAGAGAACACTTGTGTACCGGACTGATGAAGCCACTACTGGCGAAACCTTTCATTTAATAAATATCCTGCACTGTACACGGGTGACCTTTTCCACATAAGCAAAGGCTCGCATCTCAACTACCACACAAAATGCTGATTAAACAAGAATGTCCCCTGCGTCAAAGATGGACTAACATTATTCAGTTTATCGACATTTTGTGAATTGTTGTAGCCATAGTATTGACTTTTAAAGGTACACATTTATAAATGTCATGTAAATACCATAACTAAAGAGTTCGCTGAAAGCAAAACAAAATAATAGCAGTATTAGCGAGAATGTATGAAATTGGCAATAACAGATAGAGTAATAAAAGAAAGTAAAGAGATAAAAGGCAAGAGCAGCTTAGCATGCGGAATGTTAATTTAAAAAGTGAAGTTCTGAAGGTACAGAGGAGCCTGAAATATACAAAATATTCAGTAAACAGCTAAGCTTACAAAATAATATTTGCATGTTCAAATGTTATGAAATATATATATACTGTATATCGTGCCGAACAGGTAAAACTGGTCAATTAGCAAGAACTCATTTAAAATTAAGTTCTTTCTAAAATTTTCTCTTATACGTTTAAAGATATATAATTTTCCTTTATGTTAATGTAAAAATTAATAATTTTGTACCAAAAGAACCCTAGAAAACTTACCTAACCTTATAATAAGCGCAATTTAATTTAGCCTAATCCGACTAAATACATATTAGATAAGTTTATAATAATTTACTAATAAACAAACACAATGAAATATACTTTTTAGTTAGGTTCAGAATGATTTTTGCGAAATTATTGCATACACAAATTTTCGCTTGCCTTATTCAACAAGAAGAGCGTTGCTATTTAAGCCAAAATAGCAAGTTTTACATATTCGGCATATATAGAATGTACTGTACATGTGTGCTGTAAGCACCATGCATAGTCACTAAGCGTAGATAAACTGCAATGTATATTAATGTATATTTTCTCATTTTTTGAGAAAGTAATTACACATTTAAAAAATGAATATTTAAAGGCAAAAATCTCTGAAGAAGCAAACTAAATATTGTCTTTGAATTAAAGTACTACATTATAATTACATAGAACACTCACTAACTGCAAACACCACAAAATATCTAAGAAATGTTTGCAAATCATACAAATTTCTCTGCCTTTCCGGCTGCATTAGCTTCATTCTACTTATTCCTTTTACTCTACTTTCTAGCTCCACGAGGCCTAGGTGATATTACCAAAATTCAATACCAAGATATTTATTTTATTCAAAAAGAAGCGCTAAGCCACAAAGGATATACAGGCAAATGCTCAATACAGAAGAGGAGAAATGTGAATTTAAGAATTTTACTCACTGACTAGTAGACACAAGCATAGTAAGCACATGACGTTCTTCCTGTGTTCCTGCTGGACACTGTTCCCTACTCTAAATTTCTTTACAGACTTGAATTTTAAATTAGTACAAGTTAATTTCTTTATATTAGTAATCCAAAGGGAAATTAGAACAACTATAATTGCAAGGTCAATATTAATTAGGAGGGAAAGATGTTATACGAAGTGTTAATATTAAGAACAGCTGAGGTAAAATACTATCTAGTTACCTGGAGTTCACAAAATTCTACAGATTTACACTGAGTTAAATTACTACAGTAACACTGAGGGTAAATACTTAATATACATGAGGTTAAATACTACAGTATTACACTGAGGTTAAATACTAAGTATACCTGAGGTAAATACTACAGTATACACTGAGGTTAAATACTACAGTATACACTGAGGTTAAATACTACAGTATACACTGAGGTCAAATACTACAGTATACACTGAGGTTAAATACTACAGTATACACTGAGGTTAAATACTACAGTATACACTGAGGTCAAATACTACAGTATACACTGAGGTAAATACTACAGTATACACTGAGGTAAATACTACAGTATACACTGAGGTTAAATACTACAGTATACACTGAGGTTAAATACTACAGTATACACTGAGGTCAAATACTACAGTATACACTGAGGTTAAATACTACAGTATACACTGAGGATAAATACTACAGTATACACTGACGTTAAATACTACAGTATACACTGAGGTTAAATACTACAGTATACACTGAGGTCAAATACTACAGTATACACTGAGGTAAATACTACAGTATACACTGAGGATAAATACTACAGTATACACTGACGTTAAATACTACAGTATACACTGAGGATAAATACTACAGTATACACTGACGTTAAATACTACAGTATACACTGAGGTTAAATACTACAGTATACACTGAGGTCAAATACTACAGTATACACTGAGGTCAAATACTACAGTATACACTGAGGTTAAATACTACAGTATACACTGAGGTAAATACTACAGTATACACTGAGGTAAATACTACAGTATACACTGAGGTAAATACTACAGTATACACTGAGGTTCAAATACTACAGTATACACTGAGGTCAAATACTACAGTATACACTGAGGTTAAATACTACAGTATACACTGAGGTTAAATACTACAGTATACACTGAGGTTAAATACTACAGTATACACTGAGGTAAATACTACAGTATACACTGAGTTAAATACTACAGTATACACTGAGTCAAATACTACAGTATACACTGAGGTTAAATACTACAGTATACACTGAGGTCAAATACTACAGTATACACTGAGGTCAAATACTACAGTATACACTGAGGTTAAATACTACAGTATACACTGAGGTCAAATACTACAGTATACACTGAGGTTAAATACTACAGTATACACTGAGGTTAAATACTACAGTATACACTGAGGTCAAATACTACAGTATACACTGAGGTTAAATACTACAATATACGGAGATTAAATACTACAGTATACACTGAAGTCAAATACTACAGTATACACTGAGGTTAAATACTACAGTATACACTGAGGTCAAATACTACAGTATACACTGAGGTTAAATACTACAGTATACACTGAGGTCAAATACTACAGTATACACTGAGGTCAAATACTACAGTATACACTGAGGTTAAATACTACAGTATACGGAGATTAAATACTACAGTATACACTGAGGTCAAATACTACAGTATACGGAGATTAAATACTACAGTATACACTGAGGTCAAATACTACAGTATACACTGAGGTTAAATACTACAGTATACACTGAGGTTAAATACTACAGTATACACTGAGGTTAAATACTACAGTATACACTGAGGTTAAATACTACAGTATACAGAGATTAAATACTACAGTATACACTGAGATTAAATACTACAGTATACACTGAGGTTAAATACTACAGTATACACTGAGATTAAATACTACAGTATACACTGAGGTTAAATACTACAGTATACAGAGATTAAATACTACAGTATACAGAGATTAAATACTACAGTATACACTGAGGTTAAATACTACAGTATACACTGAGATTAAATACTACAGTATACACTGAGGTTAAATACTACAGTATACACTGAGGTTAAATACTACAGTATACACTGAGGTCAAATACTACAGTATACACTGAGGTCAAATACTACAGTATACACTGAGGTCAAATATTACAGTATACGGAGATTAAATACTACAGTATACACTGAGGTTAATTACTACAGTATACACTGAGGTCAAATACTACAGTATACACTGAGGTCAAATACTACAGTATACACTGAGGTCAAATACTACAGTATACACTGAGGTCAAATACTACAGTATACACCGAGGTCAAATACTACAGTATACACGGAGGTCAAGTACTACAGTATACACGGAGGTCAAATACTACAGTATACAATGAGGTCAAATATTAGAGGTTAAAATTTGCTATACTATCAAATATTAAGCTGGAAAATTAGGCAAGTGGCCAGTATTCAACATGGTTCATTTCTCCAGAACAATAAAGTCATACACATACTTGACACGACACACTTACTTGCACTTAAATACAAAACTGAAAACACTTCCCATCACTTGCCAGTTTAACTTGATCGATACCATGCCTAACCCTTCTAGGGTAGGGTAGGTGCCTGAGCCCGAGCCTTTAGCTCATAAGACTGTCATTCCCATTAGCCCCCTTGGGGCGGGGATGGCAGACCAGAGAGGCCTAGCTTGTGGCTAGGCCTGGGGACAGTTAGTCCCAAAGATAAGGAGGTACTTGTGCCTCCTCCCATGGGAGACTTAGGTCTCAGACATTCCCTAAAGAGGGAGCCAAGGCCGGGCCACCACTTGGAAAAGGCCCGGGCCGGGAGAATACCGGCTAATCTTTAATAATAATAATAATAAGTTTAACATCTTCATTTTGGACCCCATACCCATCTCGTGGGCGTTAGTGAAAATATTACGGAGGTACATAATGGGTCCAGGGACTGTACCTCGAAGTTTTGATAGCTGAACAAGTTAAAGGTAATGAACTCCAGGTAGACCTGGTCACACTCAAGACAATAAGTGAGAATAAAACTACAGTGAAGTTAAAAATACATAAGGAACTGCTACAGCATCTACAACACTCACATCATGGAATAAACTGACATACATAGCAGGAACTACAACAGCATCTACAACACTCACATCATGGAATAAACTGACATACATAGCAGAACTAACAGTCTCAAAAAAAAAACTACAACACATAGCAGGAACTACAACAGCATCTACAACACACATCATGGAATAAACTGACATACATAGCAGGAACTACAACAACATCTACAACACTCACATCTTGGAATAAACTGACATACATAGCAGGAACTACTACAGCATCTATAACACTCACATCATGGATTAAACAATATACAGTCAATTCTCTACAAAATATGAAAATAATCAAAACGTTTAAACGAAAGATATTTGTATTTCAGTGTATATACAGGGATGAAAAATAGACAAATGAAGTATAATGTAATCCTTTATTAACAAAGTTTGGCTTCCTCAGTGGACTTTATCATGTCACAAACCTGGAGAGAGGATAAGCATATAGTATATAGGGAAAGCAGTGACGTGAAGAATCAGGTTAGGTGTGTAGAAGCGATAACCTTAGGTGCCGTTAAAGTCAAGTCTAAAAAATGTACGATTAAGAATTGAAAATTAGACACATATGCAACACCTGGGTATCCTTATTGTAGACGTTTCGCCATCCAATGGCTTTATCAATACAGATTCTAGGACATAATAGGGAGACAGCAGAAGTACATGTGTATACAGAAGATGAGGTTATCAGTCCCTCAGCATTGAAGTTGGTGTGAAGAGCATTGTAGTCGTGAAGAATCTGGAGCACAGGCAAGGTAGGTAGGTAGTAGACTCGCTGATTCCAAGAGGTGGCTCGGCCTTGGCTCCGTGTATGCGGTCAGCCTTATAGTCACTTTCTTGAACACTATGTGCTTAAATGTCCACTTATTGAGGAATATAGATATAGACAGTATAACCTTCGTGATATGTCAAGCTATATTATTAATGAAAATAAAATACCAGACAAACAAATATATTAAATTTGCTTGCAGCAGATAAAGCCTAGTTATTTGGCCTTGAGTTCTATATGAGCTTGCGCTACCGTCCATAGGATGGATGTGAGATGAACAGTAAATTATCAGCTGTGGCAGAAAGATCTAATCTAAACAAGATACCACCGAATATTTTTCTCAAACACCAAATTCCAAGTGGCCATCACACCACCAAACCCAAACCACTGCAAGGGTCCACATAATCCTTTGCAACGACTGTGACAAAATATACGTGGATGAAACATCCAAAGAACTCCACACACATTTTTGAACACCAGTACGCCAGCAGACTGAATGATTTAAAAAATGCCTGTTTCACACCAACTCTAAAAAAACACAGGACATATTGTCAAAGATGACACCTATAGATGCAAGATCTAGAATCATTCCTTAACAGCAAACCCAATAATTTCAACCACGACAACGGCTTCTACAACATAGCTGAACCTCTTGCCAGGAAACTTCTCGATCCTTTTCCCACATAGCGACGGTTAACACTGTGGAGAAGTACTGCTGTTGACCTAAATGTCCATTCTAGGTAAGTTCTTACCAAGTCCAGAACTTCTCAATCATATTTTTATCCAACTTAATTTTAAAGCACCTAAGGTTGCAACACTTCCTATATACACTTACTTGAGAATGGTTATAACTTAACTATGACCATAATTTGTAAAGGGGTGGACCGATAAGCCAGTGGAAGGCCTCGGTCAGATGACCATAAGCTCCAATGGCGGGTCACCATTTGACAAAGACCCGCGTCAGAAGACACTTGTCCTGTTTCCTGACGAACCTTACCTAAACCACTTGCATGTCTTCTCTCTCTCCATGCAGATTTGTTTGACTTGACAAAGCCCGATGCCCGGCCGAAACGTTCTCAATAAAGGATAATAATATACTGAATCTGAGTGTATTAGATCGTGTCAGTATCGCATATCATTTATCTTGACTGTATATCCACTGAGTTTGCTTCAATCCCTATCGTACGAATTAAAGTTATTTGATAAATGTCTAGGTGGACTACAGCCTTAATTAATGACCTTCATATATTGACAGTTGATAGGCATTAAAGCTAACATAGTACACACAGAAAGCCTCAAGTCTGGCACGGCTGCTGTCTCATCTCTACCAGTCTAAGCTCATAACAATGAGTTTGTGCAAATAAAGTGGGCATATTTAATTAATACGTTTGTACCTTAGTTCTGATACATACCTCTTCCATCTTGTTGGCTCGCTTCTTCACTTCTGTCATCTCCTGCTCCACCTTCTCCCGCATCTCTGTATACCTCTGCTGCTCCTTCTGCAGGTACATCAGGTCCTCCCAGGCCTGAGTCACTTCTTCTGGTTCATCATCATCGCTGTCATCATCTGCGAAAATACAAATATATTTGATCGAAATTATCAAATAATAAATATTATAGCTTAGTAATTAAATGTTAATATTCATATACTACATAATTTATATTTAGGCTTTCAATACACTTTCACTAAGTAATCCACAACATTTGAAATCTGCACTTATATTTCAACGCGCTAATATTTTCGTACTGAATTCTTGTCTGTATAAACAACTCATTACAACTGTAACCAAATCAGACCTGTAAGTTGTACCAATGTGTGGAAGCAGTTGGAAAATAATCACGTGAGCAACGCTTGGTATATTTATTCTGGAGACATTTCGCCAAGCAGTAGTTTTATCAATGCAATACAAAGACTGTTGAAAATGGTATAAAATATCGACAATACATAGGTTACTTAAAGGTTTGGAAACTGGAGACAGTAGAATATAAAGTAATCAGTCCCTCAGCTAAGATGAATGAGGACTACGGAGGCTAACACTTTCATCTAGGCTAAGGGACTGATTACCTCTAATATTGTTCAAAGTTTCAACTTACAAATGACCTCTGTACTGAACTTACAAAGCCACAGGTTGGCGAAGCGTCTTCAGAATAAAGAGACCCATTGTGTGTCTGTAATCTTTTCGTAACCTCCTACAGGATGGGTAGATTTTATTCACCCGAAATTACTATTTCGGGTCAGATGTCATCAAGGGTTGTCTGTCGTGTTTTCATTGTGGTCCTTTAATCCTCTGCCCCAGTTAGCTACTTATTGCTGGAGCAGAGAAATACGTAAAGAAGTGTCCAATGTTTTGTTCTAGGGATTGAACACTAGTCTCTCAGGAAGCGGCTACCAAATCAGTCACGAGACACCACGGAGTACATAATGTTATCAAACTAACATTGAAGAGGGCCTCAAGCCCAAAGATACAGAACGCATTGTTATTATAGTTCCCATGTGGTTTGCGCCACTGACCAGTGTTTATTACAGTTGCTTCCTTCATATCCGTGGTATTCAATACCGACAAGATGAAGAATAAGACACTTGTGCAACATCTGGGTATCTTGTAGACGTTTCATCATTCGAAAGGACACAAGAACATACACACAGGACTCGAGTGGCCACGGTCCCAGGAACGAAAAACATCCACTAAAGATGCCCAAATTGTGTGTATGTATGCACTTGTGTCCTTTCATCCATATCGACTATACGAGGGTCGTTACGGCTGCACGTAGCCTATTCATTAGTTTAGTTTAACATGTTTATTATGCACCCCATACCCATCCTGTGGGCGGTAGTCAAAAGATTACAGAGGTACATAATGGGTCCAGGGACTGGGCCCCAAAGTTTTGATAGCTGAGCAAATTACAAAGGTAATGAACTCCAGGTAGATCTGATCACAATCATGACAAGGTACAAAGGTATTTACAGATTACAAGACAAGAATATGTACTTAAATAGCTTTTTTAGGGAATAAAATAAACTCAGCACATTCAATATATACTGAAATAAATACACCTATGTGTTTATATGGTGTCAGATGTTACCTTTTTCTTTATCGGTGTCCATGTCAATAATATCCTCTCCATCAGGTCCCTTGACAGAATCTGAGCGACCCTTGGACCGCCTCGACCTCTCAGCTTCCCACTCAGTAACTACCAGATTCTGACGTTCAAACTCCATTGATAATGCTAGGATGCTGCTGTCAATATCCATCAGCTTATTTCTGTTCAAAGTAATGATTATCACAATCATGAGGAAGCATTTAATAAGAACATAAGAAAGAAGGAGCACTGTTGCAGGCCCACTGGCTGCAGCAGTGGGCCATACAGAGTTTGTGGTGTAGGGAAAATAAACAGATCAGATCCAATGGAATTGAAGGTCCAATTCCTTGGATCAAGAGAGCTTCACTTGCATCATGTCGCTCTTCTCCCTCCCTAGAGAGGGGGCACGATTTCACGGTCACGTTTTTATAGTGTACAAAACTGGCTAGGCTACCATGGTAGTACACAATAACCAGTTTCACTGTACTGAGTAAAACACATTTTAACTCTCTCTCTCTCTCTCTCTCTCTCTCTCTCTCTCTCTCTCTCTCTCTCTCTCTCTCTCTCTCTCTCTCTCTCTCTCCTCTCTCTCTCTCTGTCTCTCTCTCTCAGATGTTGCAAGTATATGGAATAGGTGGTAAGTTACTAAATGCTGTAAAGAGTTTTTATGATGATAGTGAGGCTTAGGTTAGGGTGTGTACAAGAGAGGGAGACTATTTCCCGGTAAAAGTAGGTCTTAGACAGGGATGTGTAATGTCACCATGGTTGTTTAATATATTTATAGATGGGGTTGTAAAAGAAGTAAATGCTAGGGTGTTCAGGAGAGGGGTGGGATTAAATTATGGGGAATTAAATACAAAATGGGAGGTGACACAGTTACTTTTTGCTGATGATATTGTGCTTATGGGAGATTCTAAAGAAAAAATTGCAAAGGTTAGTGGACGAATTTGGGAATGTGTGTAAAGGTAGAAAGTTGAAAGTGAAAATAGAAAAGAGTAAGGTGATGAGAGTATCAAATGATTTAGATAAAGAAAAATTGGATATCAAATTGGGGAGGAGGAGTATGGAAGAAGTGAATGTTTTCAGATATTTGGGAGTTGACGTGTCAGCGGATGTATTTATGAAGGATGAGGTTAATATAGAATTGATAAAGGGAAAAAAGGGGGTGAGGGGGTGCTTTTGGAGGTAATGGTGGGGGGAAAAAAAATTTTTATCTATGGAACCAAAGAAGGGTGTGGAAAATCTGTATATATTTTCCAAAAATTTAACAGTAGTTATTTTGGTTAAATTTAGAGGGCCCCTTTACTGATTTAATAAAAATTATTTTAATCAAAAAATGGGGAAGCTGCGCCTGCGCAAGGGAGTCTCGCCATTTTTTTTTAAACTGTTTAAACATAAACGTTGTAAATTTTGGGGGGAAAAATTTTCGGGGTTCTAGATTTTAAAAAATTGGGGGTGACACCCCAAATAGGAGGCAAAAATTGTTGGATGTGAAATTCCTGCTTTAACTTGAGATTAAAGGCGACTGGACAAGACGCTCCGGGAACCTTTCAGAAAAGTCTTTTTTTAAAACTTGGCCAGGTTTTTTCATTTAGACATTTGGAGGTTTTCTGAGTTTTAATACCCCTTTAAATTTCTCCAGTAAAATTGGTGGTGATTTTTAAGATTTTCCCTCCTTCTGTTATGAATATGTGTATATAAAAATCCTTTTTTAAATTTTTAAATTTATACAGTCCCAAATTTATATATTTCCCCGCTTTTCCTGGTGGATACAAAATTTCATTTGTAATTAATAGGCCCAGAGAAAACTTGTGGTTTTATGACAGTGGTGGGTATGGGAGGGGGACTTTTTTTTTGGGGCCCCTGGGTTTGCCCCAAAATTCCTATTTTGTCTATGTAACTGTTAAATAATAATCTTTGTTATCATTTTTTTTAAGTCATAATGAGTTACATTAAAGATAAATGAAATTTTTTCCACAAAGGGAATGTATGAAAGTTAAAATACAACATCTTATTAGGTTTGTGAGGTTTTTGGGTTTTTTTAAATGTTGAAAGCGGGAAAGGGGTTTAAGGGGGGGGAAATGTCCTGTCAAAGGGGCAATGTGGGGTTGAAAATATTATGCAGAAAATCGGAGTGTGGAAATTAGGGGGGTTGGGGAGTTTTAAAAGTATTAGTAAAGGGGGCCCTGAAGGGGGTTTTTTAGGTGGTTTGGTATTAGAGAGAATGGACCCAAAGTAGAAAGGGACATGGAGAGGGGGGGGTAGGGGTGCCCTTTAAAAAAAGGTTGGAGGAGGGGGGTTAAGGGGGTTTTGTGGGCGAGGGGTTTGGATTTCCCAAAGCAAGGGGTGCGTAAAGCGTGTTAGGGGGTGAATGGAGACATTGGTTTTTTGGGGGCCCAGGGACAAATTTTTTTTGGGGTGTGAGCAGGGAAAAATTTTTAAAAGTGAAGGGATTCGGGGAAACCCGGTTTTTTTTTATAAAACCCGGGAAAATCAAAGCCCTGGAAAGGGGAAGTCCCAATGCCTGCACTTTAAAGGAGGGGTTTTGGGGATTTTGGGGCAGTTTGGAGGGTTTATATTGTGTTTTTTTAAAAGAAATATCTTCAAAAACTTTTCCCACTCTGGGAAACCTCGGGCAAAAACAGTGATTATTTTGTGAGGTGGGGGAAAAGTGTTAAAAGATAAAAAGTATTTTCTTTTTGGGGGGATTTTCTTTCATTTTGGGTCCCCCTTGCCCCCGGTGGGAGACGGGCCGACTTGTTAAAATATATTATATATATTTTTTTTTTCTTTAAAAATTTTTAAAACTAATAAAAAAAAAAAAAAATTTTTTTTTTAAAAAAAATTTCCCCCAGGGGGGTGGTAAAAAAAAATATTTTTTTAAAATTTAAAATTTTATAAATAATATTATAATATATTTTAATATATAATATATTTTTATACCCTAGGTAGTAGGTTGGTAGCCCGCAACCCCCCAGGGAGGTACTACCGCCCCCCCCCGGGTGAGTGTAAAACGGGAAAACCTGTAATTTTTTTTACATGATGGTAGGATTGCTGGTGTCCTTTTTTTTTGTTCATAAAAAATGCAAAAATTTCAGGTACGTCTTGCTACTTTAAATTACACTTAGGTTAAAACTCCCCATAATGTACAAACTATATATACACACCCCCCCTGGGTTTTTGCTATTTTCTTTTTAGCTCTTGTTCTTGTTTTTTTCCCCTTATCTCCATGGGGAAGTGGAAAAGAATTCTTCCCCCCCCTAAGCCATGGGGTTTGTAAGAGGCGGGGCTAAAGTGCCGGGGGGGGAAGGGGGAGTAACCCCTTCTTTGTATATATTCAAAAATTTTTAAAAAAAGAAAACTTTTCCGGGTTTTTTTTTTTGGGCCACTCCCCCTTGATGGGGTACGGCGAGGTTTAAAAAAAAAAAAGAAAGATTAAAATTACCCGAGTAATTCACAGCTGAATATTTGTTTAAATTTTTAGATAGGCAAAAAGTGTAAACAATAAATAAATGAGAGAAATACGGGTTATGGGCATTTTTCGTTCAAAAAAGTTTCGCTCACTATTTTCAGTTGATGAAATCCCCCGGTTTGCGAAACGTTTTTCGCATTAATTGCCCAAAAACCCACATTATATCTTTTAAACGCAATTGATACATAAACCCAAATTTTTACTATTTTCTCATTGTGGTTATTTTTTCATTCATTAAAAAAAAAAACGAAGTGTGGAAAGAGTGAATTTTAAATTTCACCAAGTTTTTCCTCTACTTGTTTACTTGCCTTTTAAGACATCTGGTCCCCTTAAAAAAATTGGGACTTGCCCCATAGCAAATTTGGGCCCTAAAAAAAATGGGTAAATTCCTTTTAAAACTTCGGTTTTAAAACCCCCATTGCCTTAACCCCGGAAATCTGGTCCCTTTAAATTTTCTTTTTTCCCTTGGGGCATTTGGGCCCCCAAATTCGCCCCCAACCCCTTGACTTCACCCAGGATTTTTTGCTCTTCAGGCCAGGTTGTTGGGAAAATTAAAAGTTTCAGCCGGGGCCCGGGCCCCCCTTTTAACGGGGGACCCCCCCTTCCAACCCCTTTTTCCTTTAAAAATCGGTCCCCTTCTCTTCTTTTATTCCAGAGAATTGGGCCCTTAAAAAAGTTACGGGGTTTTTTTTAGTCCCGCATTATTCGAAATTTAAAATCACTTTTTAAATATTAAACTGGGGGGTTAAACCCTTTCCCAACACTCCCATTGAAAATTTTCCCTTTTGGCATGGAAAATTTTTTTGGGGGAAAATTTAAAGTAATTTTGGCCATAAATTTTCACCTTAGCCCATTTAAATTTCAAAAAAAAATTTTAACATGGAAAAAATCTTAAGCCTATAACCACCAATAAAACACAAAATTTCAAACCCAGCCCTTCCCAAATTAACGGTGTTTTTGCCTTTTTTAAAACCTAATTTTCCCGGGGGAGACTTGCCTATCGTCTCCCCCCGCCCCCGAATTTTAACCCGGGCTCTTTTTCACTTGAAATAATACATATTTAACCCAAACCCTTTTGCCTTACCTAAAATTATTTTCTGCCCAAAAAATTTTTAAAACAAAGCTAAAATACCTCCCCCGTCCTCAGGCGCCATATGGGCCCCCCAGGCGTTCAAACGGTCTTTGTCAGGGGGCCCCCTTGTGGGTTTAAAAAGGCTATTGGTTTGAGGGGAATTTTGGCCCTTTTTGGGCTTTTTCCTCACACCGGGAAACCCAATTGCCCCCCAAAACCCCCCCCTTTCCCCCATCCCATCTTCCCTTTTCCCTCCCCCTTTTCCCCCTTTCCCCCTCCCCATAAATCCTACCCCCCTTTCCCGTTTTTAAAACCCTTTTGGGGTTTTCCCTCAGGATTCTAGTTCCAGGGGAGGGGGAAGGGGACGGTGGGGCAACCCATTCTGTTTTTAGGTCCCTTTGTGGTGGTTGCAGGGTTTTTCCCTTTGGGAAACTGGATCAAAATGGGGATGTCCCATCCCCTCTCCCTCTCCTGGGTGTGTTTCGGGTGATGGGTGCATTTCTGGAGGCTGCCTGTCAGATTCCGGGAGGTGGTGGTATGATTTTTGGCGGGTATCCGGCCGCCCCCTCTTTTGTCCACCGAGGTGGCTCAGTAGATGTGAGGTTGCTATCCCGGATTGCTGGTTTACTGGCATGAAAGGTAGGGTATGGCACGGGTTCCATGCGCATCTGCACTACCCATTGTGCTGGGGTCCTCTTGGGTGCAAAGGTGGATTTACGGCCCTTTCATTCCTCCTAGGAGCTGTCCCTCCATGTTCCTCCCCTTTTTATACTTTTTCTTTCCATTCCTTTTTTGTTTTCTAATAAACAAAAAGAAAGAAGTGACATAACTATGGAGTCCCAAGTCCATGAACCAGCTCCTCCCAGGCCCCATTCTGCTACCACACCTTGTTCCGACCCTATCTTGTTATTTGACTATTCTTCTGACCTTTTTAATGCCCCTGTACCATCTGCTGGTGCAGTTTCGTCACCAGCTGCAAGTACCAAGGTTCTACCTGACTCCTTCAATACATCTGACCTCCGTACTTCTTTGACCATGCTTCTGGTTTCTCCCTCTACGGTGCGACGATTCTCGGATCGCCAGCCCATCTCAAGTTGCCCGGTTCGGTCCCACACCTAAACGACACTTCTATTACGTCTCACTCTGCCCAGAAAAGACCGGCATGGCACTCGCTCTCCTTACAGTGTTTCAAAGTACACAATGGACTAAATTTTTTACTCTACAACTGACATATCCTACTGTCTCTCAGATAATAGTATTGGCAAGGTGTCCCTACACCATGTTGGTTGATATATTCGTTTCATGCTCTCAAGAGCAGTGCACACATCGTCACGGTACACAATGCTAGCCAAGCCCACGATCTTCTCTCCTTACCACAGTAGATGTTATCCCTGTAACAATTAAAAAATACCATTCTCTCATTTCCTGTAGTGGTACCATCATTCTACCTCATACTATTGTTCAACATAACTTCCAGACATGTGGTGACAACGTTCTCGAACAACTTGAGCTCCAAGACCTCCCAGTTCTCAAAGCAGACACATATACTATCTGCCCGCGGGCGGAGACACTGCCCCAGCAATGTAGCTCGTGACCTTCCGTCCTCCGTCTCCAAATCCGAGAGTTGATCCCTACACCACAACAGTGCAGAAATGCTGACGCTTTGGCCACCAAGCAAAATACTGCAGGTTCATGACAGAGTGCACAGTCTGTGGTGCTGACGACCATACAACTACATCCTGCAACCTGAATCCTTCTTGCCTTAATTGTAAGTGAGGCTTGCCCGGCTTTTTCTCACCGTTGCCAAGTTTACGTATAAGAAAGAGAAATTCGTCTCAGAGAGAAGGTTTCACATATGCCATGGCAGTCTCTCATCTTCACCTCGACGGGAGACTTACACGACTTTCTTATTCTAGAGTTACTAAGAGACCTCCAACCTCGTAGTACCTACTTCCACTGTCTCGAATGTCATAACTTCCTCATTCACCTCCATCTCTAACTCTTTTGCAGTACTCGCCTCCGAGGTCCCTACCTCGATGCGTAATACTGTTCTTGAATCATCTTACTCTCATGTTTCTATGTCTACAAACCTCACAAAACTACACCTTCCCCTCGTTAAGCTACTTCTTTGAAGTTTAAACCATCCCCCCCAAGTTCAAACCTCGTTTATCTCTTCTTCACATAGCCTTTCCAAACATTTTTCATTTTCAGTCTCTTTACCTAGTGCTTTACCTCTTCCTAGTTCTGTTACGAGTGTAGAGGTTCACTCCTCCCCCTCATACAGTCCCCTCCTCTTCAGTCACCTCCCAAGTTTCTTCCTCTCCTGTCCCCTCCCAAGTTTCTTCCCATGTTAACTCTACCCTCTTACCCCCCCTTCTTTGGTATCTTCCATCACCTCTCGATCTTTATTCACCCTCCACCTTCTAACTCAAATTGTATGCCAGTCTCATTGCAATTATCCATATTGCATCTATGCCTGCTTCAAAGTTTGTAATCGTCTCAGACTCCTTTAGTGCTTTGCATGCCATTAAAAAATTTGATTCCCCCATCCCTTAGTTATTCGTATACAACTCTGGTTATGCCGCATTACTAGCAAAAATGAAGAAATCCTTTTCTGTTGGGTCCCTGGTCATGTTGATGTTCAGGGCAATGAGCAGGCAGACTCTACTGTGCGGTCTGCAGTACATGACCCATCAGTTTCATATAGAGATATTCCATTCTCTGACTATTTTCCTGTAATCTCTACCCACCTTCGCAACCATTGTCAACAACGTTGGTCTGATATGACTCGTAACAAATTACGTTCTATCAAACCAGGTTTGGGTTTGTGGCTTTCTTGTCATCGATACCGATGTTGGGAGACAACACTCCTTTTCTTCGCATCGGACACATTCTTCTAACTCATGGGTATCTCGTGGAGAGGTATCCTGTTCCACTTTGTGAGAATTGTCTAATTCCTGTTTCAGTTTCCCATATTTTATTGGACTGTCCTGTCTATCAACGAGCACACAGAGTTTTCCTCCGTCATCACAGCTCTAACACCCTTTATCTTCCCTCCTTACTGACGGACCCACCTTAGACACAGACTTCCTTTTCGACTTTTTGACAGCAACTGATTTATTACACAAACTTTGATAATCCTTTCCTTAGCACTCCTCACAGCCCCTTCTAACTTTACCTTTATTGTCATCTCCACCCTTATTTATTCTTAGATCCTGCATCAGATCCTAGCCTGCAGTGCAGTATGACCCTGGTAGGTTTAGCGCTTCCTTTTGATTATAATAATAATGCAAAAGAATACAAGACTTATTATGCTGACCTGTTTGGAGATATTCTTGGCTCTGTCAGCATAGATGAGTGTGTTACGGGTCTCTTCGCGGTGCAGGTGGCAGGGAGATACATGCGCTATCATCACGGTGCGACAGTTGCCCGAAAGTGCATCCTGCAACCAGGTACTTGTGTTTACTCTCTACTTCCACCTACGAACTCATTCAGTGCTGTTCTTACCAGTTACAGTATGTGTATATTCGTGCATACATAGACACAAACTATTGATGCAGTTCATTCAGCGTTATTCTTACTAGTTATAGTAAGTATACCCATACATACATAGACAAACTATTAAATGGTATATATATTCAAAAATGCTGAAAGGTATATACACAAGCTCTAAGGAGTATATACACGAGCTCTTAAAACTATATACACTTAAACACAAGTTATGAAAAATATATTCATACACACCAACACCTAAAAATCTAGAAAAAGGTTTATACATTCTTAACACTCGCCACCAATAATTATTCCCCAGGCATAAAAACTCACCACTAACACACACACACACACACACACACACACACACACACACACACACACACACACACACACACACACACGCACGCACGCACACACACGCACGCACACACACGCACGCACGCACACACACACGTAATGATGTATCACAGTGGGCACCTGTGACGAGCGGGGTCCCACAGGGGTCGGTCCTAGGACCAGTGCTATTTTTGGTATATGTGAACGACATGACGGAAGGGTTGGATTCAGAAGTGTCCCTGTTTGCAGATGATGTGAAGTTAATGAGGAGAATTAAATCTGATGAAGACCAGGCAGGACTTCAAAGAGACCTGGACAGACTGGACACCTGGTCCAGCAAATGGCTTCTCGAATTTAATCCTGCCAAATGCAAAGTCATGAAGATAGGGGAAGGGCACAGAAGACCACAGACAGAGTATAGGCTAGGTGGCCAAAGACTGCAAACCTCACTCAAGGAGAAAGATCTTGGGGTGAGTATAACACCGAGCATGTCTCCGGAAGCACACATCAATCAGATAACTGCTGCAGCATATGGGCGCCTGGCAAACCTGAGAACAGCATTCCGATACCTTAGTAAGGAATCATTCAAGACACTGTACACCGTGTATGTCAGGCCCATACTGGAGTATGCAGCACCTGTTTGGAACCCGCACTTGATAAAGCACGTCAAGAAACTAGAGAAAGTACAAAGGTTTGCGACAAGGTTAGTTCCAGAGCTAAGGGGAATGTCCTATGAAGAAAGATTAAGGGAAATCGGCCTGACGACACTGGAGGACAGGAGGGTCAGGGGAGACATGATAACGACATATAAAATACTGCGTGGAATAGACAAGGTGGACAAAGACAGGATGTTCCAGGGAGGGGACACAGAAACAAGAGGCTACAATTGGAAGTTGAAGACACAAATGAGTCAGAGAGATAGTAGGAAGTATTTCTTCAGTCATAGAGTTGTAAGGCAGTGGAATAGCCTAGAAAATGACGTAGTGGAGGCAGGAACCATACACAGTTTTAAGACGAGGTTTGATAAAGCTCATGGAGCGGGGAGAGAGAGGGCCCAGTAGCAACAGGTGAAGAGGCGGGGCCAGGAGCTAGGACTCGACCCCTGCAACCACAAATAGGTGAGTACAAATAGGTGAGTACACACACACACACACACACACACACACACACACACAGGTCACAGCAGCAGAAATCAAGATAGAGAGATTAGAAGAGGAGCTGAGACATCTGAAACAGCATAGAGACAAAGATATTACAGAAGTAGCATCGGCAATGGCTACATCAGACACAGACAACAGGTCTGAAGGGAGCATGGAAACTAAACTGTATGCAGAGGTCCTGTCAAACCCATATGGGGCCAAAACAAAGACAGGAGCACACTAGGACAGAATGAGAGGTTGGAAGACATTAAAAGGAACTAGGACATGTGCAGGGACCTTACCAGATACTGTGGGGCCAGGAACAGGTGAGCAGGAAGACAAACCAAGAAGCATAGGGGCCATAACTGGGGAAAGGGACTGAAGGAAGGAAACACTCCAGGGGAAGGAACTAAAACACATCAGAGGATGCAATGGGAGTCACAGTGGGAGGTGGAAAGGGAGAGATCAGTGTTTGTCTACGGGCTAGACGAAGCTAAAGGGAAAACTTATGATGAAAGAAAGCAGGAGGGCAAAAAAGCGATTGAAGACATCATGAAGGTGATAGGCGAGGGGAATGACCCAGGTGGCAAATTTTCGGGACGGGGGGTTCACAAAGAAAAGGAATTGGCCTCTCAAAGTAATTTTCAAGGCAGAATCAACCCGAACCATGATCCTGCAGGAGAAAGCACGGCTGAGAGGCAAGCAGGAGTTCCGGAGTGTGTACCTCGATCGAGACAGAACACAGGACGAAAGGAAGGCGATGAGAGTTCAAAAACGAAAGGAGAAATGGGAGGAAATGAAAAAGGAGAGCAGAAAAACCCAGGATCAAATGGAAGGACAAGCACACCCCCCAGAAACCCTGCAGAAGGACTCCAGCCACGACACCCCCCAAAGGGAACTGAACAATCCCAACCAACCATCCACACCCCCGATCCCTCTGTTTTCCCCCCCCCCGCACCACAGTTACAGTATTAGAACAGAAGTTGAAGGTTTGGTACACAAATGCAGATGGATTTAAAGAATAAACATGAGGAATGGCAAGAAAGCATCAATGAGAAGTCCCCAGACATCATAGCAGTTACAGAAACAAAACTCACGGAGACAATAACAGATGCAATCTTTCCCACCAGGATACCAATCATGAGGAAAGATAGAAGGGGGCGAGGGGAGGGGGGTTGCTCTGTCGTAAAAAAACAGAAAAATTCGAGAAAATGGAAGGCATAATGAGGGGGGGAGAAAGAGATGATTATACACTTCAGCGGGGGAACACAAAGTGGCATTGAAATGTTGTATAATCCCACGAACGCGGAGGCCAAGAGAGGAAATGAAGAGAGAAAACAGAGCAAGGGGACACACTTGTGAAGTGGCAAGAAGAGCTCACCCCCGCAAGCAAATTTGTGGTTATGGGGGATTTAAAACCAAGGGAGATTGACGGGGAAAAAACCTGGACCCAGGGGGGTTCCCGAAAAGGGGAGAGCCAGGATTTTTGGACGTGGTGCTGGAAAACCTCATGCACCAACATGTTAAAGGGAAATCCAAGTAGAGGGGAAATGAACACAAGATTGACCTTGTGTTCACCCGGGAGCTCAGACATTTAGGACATAAGTATGAGAGTCCCCTAGGGGGCTAGCGCCCGTGGTTCTGTGCTTTGAATAATGTAGAGCTCAAAGGGGGAAAAACAGGGGTTGAATGGAAAAGTCTGACTAAAAAAAGGGGGTTTAAGAACTCCCGCGGGGGGGTCCATGGGACAGAGAATGGGGAAAACCCCTAAATGAAATGATGGAATATGTAACAACAAAATGCAAGGGGGCGTGGAAAGGTTTATTCCAAGGGCAACAGTAACAATGGGGAAGACCGAACAGCCCCTGGTTTTCCCACGGGTGTAAAGGGGGCAAAAACAAAGTGCAAAAGAGAAAGGAAAAAGTACAAAGGAAAGGGGAGAAAAACACGAAAATGGGAGATCAGTCGAAGCCAGGAATGAGTATGCACAGGTAAGGGGGAAGGCCCCGCGACGTATGAAATCATAGCTCGGAATCAAGACTGACCCGAAATGTTGTTACCCCATAGGAAAGGGAAGAAACAGTCAAAGACCAGGTGATCAGATTTAAGGACAAAGGGGAAAGGGGGGGGGAACTCACAAAAAATGATCAGGGGGTAGTGAGGGGCTGAAAGGGGATTTAAGGAAGTTTTTCAGAGGACAGGAAGGGCTGTGGGGAAAACAGCACGAAGGGAACATCAAGGGGAATTACCAAAAAGGTTGGATGACATACGAACAACCGAGGGGAGGTGAAGAAGCTCCTAAGTCCTTGAACCCCAAAGGCGATGGGACCCGGAAACATCTCCCCATGGGTCCTTAGAGAAGGAGCAGAGATGCTGTGCGTGCCTCTAACCCAATCTTCAACACATCCCTTGAACTGGGCAAACTACCTGAGAAATGGAAGACAGCTAATGTAGTCCCCATATTTAAGAAAGGTAACAGAAACGAGGTACTAAACTACAGACCTGTGTCTCTGACATGTATTGTGTGCAAAGTCATGGAGAAGATTATCAGGAGGAGAGTGGTCGAACACCTGGAAAGGAACAAGATTATAAATGAAAACCAGCATGGGTTCATGGAAGGCAAATCGTGTATCACAAACCTCCTGGAGTTTTATGACAAGGTAACAGAAGTAAGACACGAGAGAGAGGGGTGGGTAGATTGTGTTTTCCTAGACTGCAGGAAGGCCTTTGACACAGTTCCCCACAAGAGATTAGTGCAGAAGCTGGAGGATCAGGCGCATGTAACAGGGAGGGCACTGCAATGGATCAGGGAATACCTGACAGGGAGGCAGCAACGAGTCATGGTACGTGGAGAGGTATCACAGTGGGCGCATGTGACGAGCGGAGTCCCACAGGGGTCAGTTCTAGGACCAGTGCTATTTTTGATATATGTGAACGACATGATGGAAGGAATAGACTCTGAAGTGTCCCTGTTCGCAGATGACGTGAAGTTGATGAGAAGAATTAAATCGGATGAGGATGAGGCAGGACTGCAAAGAGACCTGGACAGGATGGACATGTGGTTCAGTAACTGGCTTCTCGAATTCAATCCAGCCAAATGCAAAGTCATGAAGATTGGGGAGGGGCAAAGAAGACCGCAGACAGAGTATAGGCTAGGTGGACAAAGACTACAGACCTCACTCAGGGAGAAAGACCTTGGGGTGACCATAACACCGAGCACATCACCGGAGGCACACATCAACCAAATAACTGCTGCAGCATACGGGCGCCTGGCAAACCTGAGAATAGCGTTCCGATACCTTAATAAGGAATCGTTCAAGACACTGTACACTGTGTATGTTAGGCCCATACTGGAGTATGCAGCACCAGTCTGGAACCCACACCTGGTCAAGCACGTCAAGAAGTTAGAGAAAGTACAAAGGTTTGCAACAAGGCTAGTCCCTGAGCTCAGGGGAATGTCGTACGAGGAAAGGTTGAGGGAAATCGGACTGACGACACTGGAGGACAGAAGGTCAGGGGAGACATGATAACGACATACAAGATACTGCGAGGGAATAGACAAGGTGGACAGAGATAGGATGTTCCAGAGAGGGGACACAGGGACAAGGGGTCACAACTGGAAGCTGAAGACTCAGACGAGTCACAGGGACGTTAGGAAGTATTTCTTCAGTCATAGAGATGTCAGGAAGTGGAATAGCCTAGCAAGTGAAGTAGTGGAGGCAGGAACCATACATAGTTTTAAGAAGAGGTATGATACAGCTCAGGAAGCAGAGAGAGGACCTAGTAGCGATCAGTGAAGAGGCGGGGCCAGGAGCTGAGTCTCGACCCCTGCAACCACAATTAGGAGACACACACACACTGCTGCAGCATATGGGCGCCTAGCAAACCTCAGAACAGCATTCGTACATGTTAATAAGGAATCGTTCAGGACCCTGTACACCGTATACGTTAGGCCCATATTGGAGTATGCGGCACCAGTTTGGAACCCACACCTAGCCAAGCACGTAAAAAAACTAGAGAAAGTACAAAGGTTTGCAACAAGACTAGTCCCAGAGCTAAGGGGTATATCCTACGAAGAGAGGTTAAGGGAAATCGACCTGACGACACTGGAGGACAGAAGAGATAGGGGGGACATGATAACGACATACAAAATACTGAAAGGAATTGCCAGGGTGGACAAAGACAGAATGTTCCAGAGATGGGACACAGCAACAAGGGGACACAGTTGGAAGTTGAAGACACAGATGAATTACAGGGATGTTAGGAAGTATTTCTTCAGCCACAGAGTAGTCAGAAAGTGGAATAGTTTGGGAAGCGATGTAGTGGAGGCAGGATCCATACATAGCTTTAAGCAGAGGTACGATAAAGCTCACGGCTCAGGGAGAGTGACCTAGTAGCGATCAGTGAAGAGGCGGGGCCAGGAGCTCGGACTCGACCCCCGCAACCTCAACTAGGTGAGTACAACTAGGTGAGTACACACACACACACACAAAACTTTCCCACTAAGAATATTTTTACCAATTAGGAAAGCCATTAAAGAGGAACCATTACTGAAACATCAAGTATTGGGAACAGTCTGCTCAATGTTCTTTCTTACACAATGTTCTTTCTTACACAATGTTCTTTCTTACACAATGTTCTTACACAATGTTCTTTCTTACACAATTTGAAGCCATGGCGGGCGAGTCGTAAAAGTCTCAAGCCAGTGTGTTAACACTGAACCAGCTGACTACAACATTCTTCCAACTACCTGGAGCATACCTGAAGACCTGAAGGGTGTTTCGGGGGTCAACGCTCCCGCGGCTCGGTCTGAGACCAGGCCTCGCGGTGAATCAGGGCCTAATCAACCAGGCTGTTACTGCTGGTCGCATGTAAACCAACGTACGAACCACAGCCCGGCTGGTCAGGAACTGACTTTAGGCGCCTGTCCAGCCCCTTCTTGAAGACAGCCAGGGGTCTATTGGTAATCCCAGTTATGTATGCTGGGAGGCATACATAAGGGGATGCTAACTTCCCTGCGGTATACAGAAATATAAATAGTTGGATGAATCTTATGAAGAGCCAGTTGGTCCAGTGGTTAACACACATCTGCGAGTTTTAGGACCCACCCGCCATGAGTTCAAGTCCTACCCGTTCCGTGGTTTCTCCCTACTGATTCCTTCCAATATGTTCTGCTAAACTAACGTCGCTCAAATGCTAAGGTAGATTATGTTCTGCATAACCAGGGACATTATATAATGTCAATAATATCAACCATCCCTGAATCAATGGGTGGACTTTGTAGATATAATGTTTATATTTTATTATTCATCGTGAGTGATGATAAATTCTGGGGAGCGAACAGCAAGCTGACAACCGTGTCGCCCATATGACAGTCTTTACAACACCGAAATTGTCTGTGACCAAGAGGACTGGTTGGATGCTTTCAGGGGGTCAACGACCCCGCGGCCCGGTCCAAGACCAAGGCTCCTTGTAAATCAAGGCCTAATCAAGTAGGCTGTTACTGTTGACCGCACACAGTCGAACGTACGAACCAAAGCCAGGCTGGTCAGGCACTGATTTCAAGTTGTACATGAATAGTGTACAATACCGAGAAGATTAAAAAAAAAATAGGCACGGTGAAGCGCACCGTGGTCTTGAAAACTACGGTGCTCTTCAACTTCAAGGCTCAGGGACTGATTACCTCGTCTTTTGTATATAGTTCTGTCTTCCCACTATGTCCTTCAGTTTGTACTGATAAAGCCACTAGATGACGAAACGTCTACAAATAAAGATACCCAGATATTGCACACATGTTTAATTCTTGACCGATTTCAGGAACATATCCAGTTTCTTCTTCAAGACAACAACCCCTCAAGGGAGGTTCCTTGACGCTGGTGAGGGGCTCTTGATCTAGGGAACTGAATCTGTGCTCCAGTTCCCTGAACTGACCCTGAATACCTCTCATCTACCCCGCCCCCACATACGCTGTATAATCCTACGGGTTTAGCGCTCCCCCATGATTGTAATAATTATTGGTAATTCCTCTTATAAAGGAAGGGACGGGTGTTTGTAAGTCTCAGACCTCGGACATTCTTCATGGTTCATCGTTTTCTGCCAAAACAATACACAGGTAACCCGCACATAGGAGGGAAAAAACTTAGTTTATAGTCCAAGTCGGACCCAAACGTCGTCGTAAGTTACATTCTCCCATGTGCGGGTTACTTGTGTATTGTTCCAGTCACGGTATTGTGCTTTTTTGTTCTGCCAGAACACTCAATCATGCCAAGAACTGGTGTTAATGTGTTATATAATGATAATATTGGTTAACTAAAGTTTAACTACCCTAAAACTTCTGAATTAGAATAAATGGTTAAAAAAAAAGTTAGGAGAGGTGGTTACCAATAATATACTAATGGGTAACGATTTTCTAGTTTTTAGTTTAAAAAACACACTGAGAGGTGTATATCTCAGTGTATATACATTGAGAGGTGTATATCTCAGTGTATATACACTAAGAATTTAGCCCCCTATTTTCGGTATTATTCTTGACGGGGGGTAAACAATACATGGGAGCTTTAACGACTCTGGTGCAGTCGACAGCCTAAATTTAAGCTCCGTGAACCAACCAGGCTATCTCCGGCAGACCAGCCACAGGTCATGTGACAAACACTTGCGTCAGGAAACACTACTCTTCTTTTCTCAAAAGAAAAGCAGCAGCAACGGGTTACCTTGAGGAGTCGCGTGAGCTTCGAATCCCTGTAGTTGACATATTTGGCACGCCCTTCAGCTAAAGCATTGATGCAGTTTCCCAGGGCTAGCAGGGAGCGGTTGATGTGGGCACCTTCCTGCAGTCTCTTACCCTTGTTCTGAGGGGAAGACAAATACTCAATTACAAGGCAGTAGAAGTAGTAGCAATCACAGTAGTACTAGTAGCCGTAGTAGCAATAATAGTAGTCCTTGCAAAATTTGCTGAGTACTTGGACCACATAGGTCACTCTGCTTTCAAAATATATGTAGTTGCTTGTGTTGGTGTATATGTAGGTTATTCGTGTGCCCAGGCACTGTAAATGCTGCTGGCCCTGAGAACCCAGCCTGGTACACTAACCCACCTGGGTTTGTTGGGCACGCTCCGAGCCAGCCAGGTCGACCATGAAGAGTCGACCATTTTTGACTTCCTCGCACTCCCCTTTAAGGTCAGACCGGCGCACGTTGACCTGTGGAGGAGACAATCTTGTAAAAGTCAAACACTGACAGACACCCTCGTAAAAGTCAAACACTGACAGACACCTGGTGGTACACCCACCTGCAGAAGAGCGTGGCTACGGGAGGAGGTCTTGTTGGCAGCTGTTGGTTCACAGGTCCTCTCCTTGTTGCCCTTAGTGAGCAGCTTCATGACCTGTAATGGTAGGGCTTGTCAGGTAAGTCTTAAGTAAATTATTACATGTCAGCCTGGTATGACAGCTGGGAAAATAAAATTGGTGGGTTGGACAGGAGCACTGTCTTGGAAGACAGTGCTCCTGAGGGTGCTAGTATTGTCCTGGAGGTCAGTGCACCAAAAGGAGATAGTGACCCTGGTGATGAAACAGGTAAAGACAAAGCTATTCAATTTATAGAGGTACAAAATAGCGATTCTGCTGGAGATGGAACAAAAGAGGATGATGCTTCAGTGAATAGTGTTGACACATTACTAGCATAAACTGATGGAAGTACTGATGTCCACACAAGGGCGATAGGTAGAGGGGAAACAGAAAAGAATGTACAAGCAGCGAACGCAGCTACAAAAAATCCTAGCAAACAAAATACCAATCTATGCAAATTTTATGCATTGGGTATCTGCAGGCATGGTATATCTGGTAAAAGAGGTGGGACATGCGCCTTTGAACATCCCAAAAAATGCCGCACTCACATGACAACAGGAGGATGCAACTCTCCTTCCTGTGACTTATTTCACCCAGAAGTGTGTCACTCCATGAAAGAAAATGCTACAGCGTATACTGCCTGGCACATCATCTAGAGGGGACAGGAAGACACACGCCAGCCAGACTATGGGAAACAAAAGAGGGGAGCCACAGTCTCTCCAGAGAAGGTATTTTAGTGCCAGGAAGGGGAAAAAAACTGGCATGAAATAACAGAAATCTTACACCAACTGAAAACACTTCTGGAGTAGAGGCACAGTCACTGGCCTCCACTCCAGAACAACAGATATTAGAGCCAGCAAATAAACCCCCACTCCCTAAACTCCACCAATATAACGACATTTGTCTTTGCAAACATACAGGGTCTAAAGCAGTCAACAAACAACAAAATTCCTTACATCAAGGGACTACTCATGGAGTCAAATGCAATGTCTGCAACTTTCACAGAGACCCACATAAAGGATCATTTTGATAACAAAATATGGATCCCAGGTTATAACCTATTCAGATGTGACAGACTAAACAGGCAACAAGAGGGGGGTTGGCTTGTACATCAAAGAGTTGCTCATTTACTCGGAACTACTAAACACCTCAAATGATGTAGTTGAAGTTTTGGCAGTAAAGACTGAAAACCAAAACCTTGTCATTGTGGTTGTATACAAGTCTCTGGATGCAACTTCCCAGCAATTCCAGGAACAGCTTTTGAAAACTGACCACTGTCTGGAAAATCTCCCAACTCCTGCCCCAAACATCTTGCTACTGAGAGATTTCCACTTGAGACACCTAAAAAAGAGGAGTGTAGCAAATAATGTTTTAGCAGAGATCACCCCAGCAGGCAGCTCAGATGAAAATTCACACACACACGAACTATTAATCTCTGCACCAAATTAACCTTAAACCAGCAAATATTAGAGCCTACAAGACTAGAAAATACGCTGGACCTCATCTTCACTAACAACGACGATCTAATAACGTAATATAACCGTATCAAGGACAATACACTCAGATCACAACATAATAGAGATACAGACATGTAAGCACAGGGCTCCTGACCAGCAAAATGTGATCAGTCATGAGGGTGTTTTCACAAAATTCAACTTCAATAACAAAAACATACAATGGGAACAAGTCAACTATGTCCAAAATGAAACAAGCTGGGAAGATATCCTAAACAACATGGATCTGAACTTTTGCCTAGAAAAAATTAACTGTGGCACATTCTATTAAGAAAAAAAAAGAGAAGATGTAAACTAGAAACAGAGACGCTCCCTATACAGATGAAGGTGAAGAGTCACAGAGCTGCTGATTATTATTATTATTATAATCAAGGGGGAAGCGCTAAACCCGGAGGATTATACAGCACAGAGCTGCTGAAAGGGGTCAATATAACTGAAATACGAAGGGAGGCACTGGTCAGTGAAACTGCAAATATCGAACTTAGGCTGAAGGAATCTTACAGGAAACAAAAATCGCAGAACTAAAAGCCATAAAGGATATTGAAAAAAATACCAAAAAGCTTCTTCTCTTATGCCAAATCTAAGGAAAAAACATCCAGTATTGGGCCTCTGCTTAGGCGGGATGGAACATACACAGATGATAGCCAAGAAATGTGTGAGATACTAAAGTCTCAATACAACTCAGTGTTCAGCGAGTCGCTGCCCAGACAAAGGGTCGACAATCCAATTGAATTCTTTATGAAGGAGACCCAAACTTTAGTCATCTCCAAAATATCTCTGATATCCTAACACCACAAGACTGAAAAGGCAATAAATGTCATGCCCATGCACTCTTCCCCAGGCCGACTCATGGAACTACTTGTTCATCAAGAACTGCAAGAAGTCCCTGTCACGTACGTTCAGCATTCTATGGAGAGGGAGCATGGACACAGGGGTCATCCCATGTGAGGGAAAAGTTCAACAGATAGGAGTAGCGAGCTAGTATATGGTGACGATAGTTTGATTGCCAGCCTGCTTGTTAAGGCAGGGTCAGTGTCTAGCTCCCGCTATCCCCCCCCCTTTTCTCCACCAGGAAAGGTGACGTGTGGGGCTCCGACCAAATGGATAATCACTTGACTCACAGCTCCCAGCACAACTGTAAGTAAAAGCTTCTGCTCCTATTCTAGTGGATATATTGGTTAAAAGCTTCACTTTTAACCAATTCTAAAACTTAGTTCATTCTGCCTTGATTTCCAGGTTTTGCTCTTAAATCCTCACCATTCTTTTAAGTGCCTTACACTTATCATGGAGAGAGATTTCTTAAGCAGTGTGTAACTTTTGTCTGTTTCTAGCTTGAAATGTCAGCTTGGGTCATCTGGCAACCAAAGAAACAGTGTTAAAGGAGACGAACTTCACATGAGTTCTGGGACGTCACTTTTTATCTACGTACCTGATGAGTGTAGCCAACCCCAGGCAACTACCCCTCATCTTTGCAGTGGTGAAAGACCTGCGTTCCTATCATCTTGGCGGATTATTCAAGGCTGGAGACACTGAGGAACTAGTCGTTGGGTTGTCACTCAACAGCTGTGACCCCCCCCCCTCATCAGCAACGGCTACAATTTCTACAAGGCTCGGTGTCAACATCAACCAGACACCCCAGTCTAACTGTATATATTAGCGTTGAATTCAAATTTCGTTTTTATTTCATTTTTCATCTTTCACGTAGGATAAAAGTTCATATTTAAATGTTTTATATTTTCAATTATAACAATAAAGTGTTTATATATACATGTTAATATTCTTTTTCTATTCATTAATTTTCCTAAGCCTTGGTAAGACCTACTTAAGATCTTACAGGGCTGAGTAAGCCTTCACATCATACACTCACTAAAAACAACAGACACAGCCCCACTCTACAAAGGTGGCACAAGAGCAGCTGCAAAGAACTACAGACCGATAGATCTAACTTCCCATATCATAAAAATCTTTGAAAGGGTTCTAAGAAACAAGATCGCCAACCACCTACATACCCATCAGTTACACAACCCAGGGTAACACGGGTTTAGAGCAGGCTGCTCCTGCCTGTCCCAGCTACTGGATGCTGTAATAGCACACAAAATGCGTGATAAAGGAATAACAGGAAAAGTTGGTAGATGGATCTATAACTTCCTGACAAACAGAACACAGAGTAATAGTAAAGAGAACAAAGTCTGAGGCGGCTACGGTGAAAAGCTCTGTTCCACAAGGCTCCCATTCTATTTCTCATCCTCTTATCTGACAGAGATGTAAGCCATAGCTCTGTGTCTTCCTTTGCGATGACACCCGAATTGCCATGACAGTGACCTCCATCGAAGACACAGCAAGACTCCAAGTGGACATCGACCAAATCTTCAAATGGGTCACTCACAACAATATGAAGTTCAATCAAGAGAAATTTCAACTAATCAGATATGGAAAATTTGAGGAAATTAAAACTATCAGGGTGTACAACAAATTCTAACCATACAATAGGGCGAAAAAGTAATGTGAAGGACCTGGGAGTGATAATGTCAGAGGATCTCGCCTTCGAAGACCACAACAATGTATCTACCACATCTGCTAGGAAAATGATAGGATAGATAATGAGAACCTTCAAAACTAGGGACGCCAAACCCATGATTCTCTTCAAATCGCCTGTGCTCTCTAGGCTGTAATACTGTTGTACACTAACTGCCCCCTTCAAGGCAGGCGAAATTGCTGACCTGGAGAGTGTAGAGAGAAGTTTCACGGCACATATATGTACGATAAGGCACCTAAATTACTGAGAACGGTTGAAGTCCCTTGATTTGTATTCCCTGGAATGCAGGTGAGAGATACATGATAATATACACTTGGAAAATCCTAGAGGGACTAGTACCAAACTTACACATGAAAATCACTCCCTATGAAAGCATAAGACTCGGCAGGAGATGTAACATTCCCCCGATGAAAAGCAGGGGCGCCGCGAGTACACTGAGAGACAACACTAAGTGTCTGGGGCCCAAGACTGTTCAACTGCCTCCCAGCATACATAAGGGGGATTACCAATAGACCTCTGGCTGTCTTTAAGAAGGCTGTGAATAGGTACCTAAAGTCAGTACCTGACCAGCCGGGCTGTGGTTTGTAGTCAGTTTGCATGCAGCCAGCAGTAACAACCTGGATGATCAGACCCTGATCCACCACAAGGCCTGGTCTCAGACCGAGCCGCGGGGGCGTTGGCCCCCTAAACCCTCTCCAGGTATACTCCAGGTAATCAAAACTAAGCGCTAAACCCACAATGTTCATACAGCACTGCAGGGCAGGGTGTGTGCTTGATTACAGACTAGTGAGGGTGGAGAGAATAACAAAGGTAGAGTTAGAAAGGGTTGTGAGAAGTGCTAAAGGAAGTACCATCAAAGGTTGTGTAATAAATCTGTCAAAAAGTCAAAGAGGAAGTCTGTGTCAAGGATGGGGCCGTCAGCGAGGAGGGAAGATAAACCAAGGGTGTTAGAAAAGTGACGACATTGGAGGTTTACAGGGTATTACCT